CCTGTTACCACAAAGTAAGCTCTCATTCTAAAGGTGGTAGGATCTACATCCGCAAAACAGCGTTTTTTTTTTTTTTTTTTTTTTTTTTTTTCTGTTGGGAAAGCAGGAAGCAATAATTTTGAAGCAGAATGTTATTAAGAAGCTTATAAAAATGCTTTCAGACAAAATAATTATCTGTGTTTGACTTTTAAAATACATAACTTTATACAGCTTATTGGAAAATGTGATTTTAGTTATACAGTGATGCTCTTTTATTTTAGCAGAAGAAGAGATACAAGTAAATGATAAGGTTGCTATTGTTGAAATGTTAAAGGTTTTCCTGTTACATTCTTCTGATTTTGTTGTCTGGAATTGCTACCTGCAGGCCCTTTCTGTCTTCTGTTTTAATTATTCCTGTTTTGACTATCGAACATAATTGCTTGAAAAGTAAAACAGAAATTTGTAAAGAAGTGCTTATAGTTATTTGGAAGGTTTAAGTGTAGAATTACCAAAATAATCTCCTAAAAGCTTTTAATAGATTTTAAAATTGCCCAACTATGATACATTCATGAGAAAATCAAACATTTTATTCTTACTGTCAGGCCAAAAAATTAATTTCTATTATAGTCATTTTGAGAAGTAAATAAGCTTACATGGGAAGTAAAACCTCTATTGGGCTTTTTTCTACTGTTTTGGGATTGAAAGTACCGGGGAAGCAAATTTTACAAGGCTTTTCATTCTGGAGGTATTGAGTGGTAGCGGAGGAGTTTTGAATGGAAGTCAGAACACTTCCTAGCTTACCCAAATCTTTGAAGTTTTGCCTGCTGTAACTGATGACAGAAAGACAATGAATGTGGTTCTTGTGGCAGTGTAGTTTGTTCTAAATAAATGTGAAAAATGTGTGTTTACATACCTTATGCCATGTTGAAGTGTGGAAGGGGAGGAAAGTTCTGAGACACCCTTGGAACCACTGAATTGTGGCTTAAATCCGAGATGCCCATCTGCTGGAGGGATGTGGCTCTGGGCATTCACAGTGACCCATCTTGAATGGGAGCTGCATCTCTGGTGTCACTGGAGCCTGGTTGTCTTTGGCTTGGTTTTGCTGATCTTCAGCTTCTACAATGATAATGTAGATGTGTTGCACGGGTGCTTAATATGATAAATGCCCATCTCCTCGCTGCAGGGAATGAACGTGTAATCGCACTAGATTGATAGCCTGGACTGGAGTGATGACTATACTTATTTGGGTGGAAATCCTTTGTGCATGAATGTATGATAGATGCTTGCTTACTGGGTTGTCATATATGTTTTGCCTTTTTTTCCCCACCAGATTGGCGCTTACTTTAGCAGCATATTAGCGGAAAAGCTAAAACTTAACACTTTCCAGGACACAGGAAAGAAGAAACCACAAGTAAATGCCAAAGACAACTACTGGCTGGTTACTGCTCGGTCTCAGAGTGCAATTCACAACTGGTTCACAGATTTAGCAGGAAGTAAACCACTGACTCTTTTAGCAAAAAAGGTATCAAAATACTCCTTCCTCTTTTTCTTGGATATTGGGCTGTACTGAATTGGGCCCTAAGAATAGGGTGGTGTTTCTGAACATGCTGGATGTGGAGCGGTGCTGGAGGCAGCTGCTGCTGTGCAGTGTGTTCCCTCTTTGCAAGGAGGAGGGTACCTGGGCAAAAGGGAACTTCTGATCTAGCTGGTAAAAACTTCCTTTGAATGACTGTATTTTAGCTCAAGCACACATATCTTGCTGGCAGCCAGATTCTTTGCCTGTACGCTTCACTTCAAAGGTCTCTTTGCCAAGCAAAGGAACAGTTTACAGAAATTCTTATGTCTGGTAAGGAGATAATCGGCTAGGAAGTCAATGCATTCTTAAAAGGACTTGCCTGCTAACTCCAACCCCTTTGTGTGCTCTTCACGTTTAAATTTGTATTAACAATCTTTGTTAAACAGTCTTATTAGTTGCATTCTTGATTAAGTTTCCAATTAAGAAGAAGAATTCTTGCTGCTTCGTGGCAGTCTTTGTATAACTGGAAAAGGCAATTCTGAGCTATCTCTTTGGATACTGCATGCTGTTAAGAACAGCAGTACAAGATAAATATGAAGTGGTCATTAAAACTCATCCAAGGTGGTGTCTAGAACACAGTAACAAAGGTGCTGTTATTCGTGCCTTTCTTTCCTGAAGCTCTGTGTACAAGCAGCTAATCTTATGGTGTCTGGGAGTTATTCTGAGTGTAAATTAAACTGAAATAGGGAACTCTTATTCCAAGACTATTGAGCATAAATGGATGAAAGTAACAGAAGGTACAAGTTTCACCAGTTTTTGGTCTGTTGCTACGCAGCTGGTGAAGAACGTGTGCTCTTTGGTGGCTCTGTTGCTGGCAGAAAAACAAGAGCTTTGCTGTGGCAAGCATGCTGCCACCTTAAGTTTCCCCCCAAATTTCTGAGACATTAACTTTGTGACTAGAAGCGCTAGAGAGATTTCTTTTATTATTTAAGTTTTTTTGTTTGTTTGTTTTTTTTAAATAACCAGACTTCTAAGCCTGCTGATAACAGTAAGGAAGCATGTTAAGAACACTGAAACTGATTGTGCGAAATCCGTAGCTTGACCACTGAAGAGCATTGCAGGAAAGGGTCAATGCTTTGCTGCTCTCTTCAGCATTGGCACATCTCTGTTCTCCAGGCGCTCTGTTGGAAAGGTGGATATGCCTGAAGGAGTAATGAGGATTTTTTGATAGGGGACAGTGAGTGTAGCATTTGTGCCTCTGCTCCCTTCTGTCTCCACTGGGTATGAAATGACTTGTTCTCATGTATGTCACTTTAAAAATGCATTTTAACATTATTGTACTTTATGCAGAAAGGTGTAAGGATTGCTGTGATCAAGTAGGGTGATTCTTTACCTGGAAGTCTTGTGGGACCAGTCCTGTTGTGTACGTGGCCAGTGCAGGCAGTATTAGCTGGCCAGGCTGTGTTGTTTCCTGGTGCACTTGAGTTATTATGGACTTCTCTGAACCAGGGACACCAAGGAAACTGGCAGTAATTGAACCCTTGCCCAAAACCTTGATATATCTCCATTTTCCAGAGGTTCTGAGGATCAACTTGCAGGACTGTTTCTACACTTTGGGTCTCTTTGTGTCGAGAGGTGTGCTAGTGGCCCTGTAGGCATTTCTGAGCAAGGAAAGGATGCTCCTGGTGAAACCTGGGAAAAGTCTAGGGCAGTATCTCTTTTTTTGAAACAGGTCTTTGAGTTTCTGTGTCTGGACAACGGGAGTGTCAGCGTAGTGGGTTCCTAGGTTGATGAAGAGGTCTGCTGCTCTCCAGGTAGTGCGGGGTTGAGCAGAGGAGGCCTGGGCTAACCCACAGGTGCCAGCTGCTGTTTGGACTATAAGTGTGCTATAACTTGCTTCCTGTTTCATTTCAGGTTCCTATTCTCAGTAAAAAAGAAGATGTTTTTGCTTACTTAGCAAAATATTCTGTGCCACTGCTGCGAGCGGCATGGCTGATCAAAATGACATGTGCCTACTATGCTGCTATTTCTGAAGCTAAAATCAAGAAACGCCAGGCCACTGACCCAAATATTGGTAAATAAACATCTCTAATGTCTAAATGCATAATAAGAGCTGAAGGGGCCTGCTCCTCTTGTTCATGGTTTTGGTGTTACTAGGTGTCCAGAGCGGAATCTTTGTAGTGGGAAGGGGAATAAAAATTCTTTTAAGTCAGTTTCGCTTATAAATGTATGTCGAAGAGTACAAAGAGCATTGAGGAATAAATACTGCCCTGTTGGCTGCTTCTCCTCCCAGCTGATTCCTCCCTAAATCTCCAGGTGCAGCATCTGAGGAGATGACTGTGCCACATCTTCACCACCAACACTGGTCTCTCTGGGCTTGGCAGGAGCGGCAAGGGCTGTGCTAAGATAAACATTACCAGGGAATGAACAGAACTGCTAATTTAGAAAGCCTGGGATGAAATGTGAATTTCAAAGCTTATTTATTAGACCATAGGTGGCAATGTATTTATTTTAAGTACTAACCTTAAATGATACTGTCTGGCATCAAGCCAACGGGCCAAGCAGTGACCACCTTTAAGGTGTTCAAAGGTACTTTAACTGTTAGCAAAGTTGTAGTTTTACTCTCAGTTTACATATGCTACATACAGCTCTTCTGCTGTCTGGAATGAACATTTTCCTTCTTTATCCTCAAAATAACTGTGCTCAGAACAGACAATTTCACTGCTGTTTAGCAACATCTCTGTACTGCTGTGAGAAATGTCTGCTTCTTCCTGCCAGCTCATTCAGGTGTTTCTTTCAAACTTTGCTTTGCGTGTTGGGTTTTTTAAAATTATTTGTAGGTTCGTGACACTCACTAGTTTTCACTCTGAGTTCCTAGTTAAATCCCCCCAAATCTATTTTCTAGTAAATATCTGATGTTGGTTCCTTGGTCATAGTTTTAAAAATATTGTAAAAAATCAGTCTGATTTTTAGAGACAGAGAGCAAGGGGGATGCAATGTGTGTGGCTGGCAAGAAGAAAAAGAGACACCTGCCCAAATACCAACTCAGGTTGGTGCCTCCATTGATGTATGGATCAGGCAGTGAGAGCAGGCTGATTGCTTTCCTAATTTGTTGTGAGAAGCTCTGCTAGTGATAGTAGAGCATCTGTGGCTCTCCCAGGGGGGACTGGAATGGGGATGCTGGGCACCAGGACGGGGGTGTACTGATGAGGGTGTAGTTAAAACAAGCACCCTCTCTCTTGGTTGTGTGAGAGTGGGGGGGAAAGGGAAGTAAGAAGGAGGTAAGGAAAGCTGAGATTGTTCACTTTGTTGTGATAAATTGATCTAGACCTAGTTTGCTCTGGCTGGGAGTAGTAGCTCTTTAAAATAAAAGGAGTTTATGCTTCCTGGGAAGGTGCAAGGTGGTGGTGTGCATTGTGGAGTAGGCAGGTACTGCTGGTCTGCTCTGGGCTGGCACCACGGTGGCACCCCCTTCACAGTGAGAGTGAACGAAGCCAGGAAGAGTGTCTGAGGTGCCCCTGACTTTTATCAGCGAGTATTCTGGGGTAGGTTACTGAAGATTACATCCTCTGTACAAATTCTCTGTTTTGCAAACAGTGTTGAGAGCTTTTTGGGAAGTAGCTTTTTGCTACGTGTTACTGAGCAGCCTTTGACAGTTCCCAAAATGTTTTGTATCTGTGCCTCAGGTTGCGTTGTTTCTAACTCAGTGGCACAGTGATATTGGAAACTGCTCTGGGAAAATTATTCTTTCATACTGTCACATGAAATAAGTTTGAAGTAGTGGATTTGGAATTGTTTTTCCAAAAGTGAGCGAATCTTTGAAGTAAATGTAGTTAACCTGCTCTATGAAAACACTGAGACCGGCTAGCTTCATACACAAATTTCAGTGGATTTGGATAGAAAAGCATTCAACATATAGTCTGTATATGTTGACAGAACTGCCAATTACAAATGCAAAGGGGAAAAAAAAAGTGAACGTGCTAGCTGAAGTCTGAGGTGGGTAGTAAACAGCGAAAACAGTTGTGTTTGAGAGTGGTGGTTCCTGTAACTCTGACAGTAAACAGGCTTAGGTTGTCAAAGCAACTGCATTATGTATTCATAAAAGAGTGTGCTCTTCTAAAATATGCTGCATGCTGATTAAATACAGCTCTGTCAGATGTTTGTCTCTGAGATATTAACAAATATCCTTGGTTGTTCCAGTTACTGTTAAGAGAATGCCTTCCTTACAATTCCTCTTCTCCCAAAGTGTCATGTATATGACCAAGCAAGTTTACTTTTGTTCACTAATTTCTCCAAGTTGTGCTAAATACAGAATCACTGCTGAAGCAGACACAAAAAAATGGTAATTTTTGGGTTTGTGTGTTTGCTGAACAGCACCTACTGGCTTATCTAGGGCAAAGGAAGGTCTGTCTTGCTGGCAGACCTCTGCACTGTGCTGGTCTCTCTGACCTAAGAAACTGCTCCTGAGCTTTTTTATTCTCATCAGAGTGAAAATCTGGAGGAGTTGTCTGTTTCAGAGTGATTATAGAAAGAACAGTTTTATATCCCAGTGCTTGTGCAAAGTCCCGTTGAGTTGTGTTGGCTATATTTGGAGGGAAAAGGAAGAGGAGAGTAAAGGTCCAGATGGAAGGAAGTAATGAAATATATTTATTTTATCTATTTCAAGCTTGTTTTCTGGCTGAACGCTGAAATCTGATGAAAGAGGCAGGTGATTCCCTAAAGGCATACCTTGTGTTAGTGCTTTTTACGTCATGCCAAGCTGGCAGGCTTCTTGCCCACTTAACAGTATCTGTGCTTTGAGACCAATGCACAGGAGAGGCACATAAGAAGCCCATTAATTCACAATAGGTGCTGCATTACGCAACCGTGGGGTAATGTTTTGGAGAAATATTCTTGACAACTGAGGTGATATAATTTTGCTTCAATTTTCACTGTGAAAGAAACCTTTTATCATCCAAAGTGTTCTAATTGTAAACTTATTTTGTAGAGTGGACTCAAATTATAACCAGATACCTTCGAGAGCAGCTGGCAAAGGTTGCGGAGTTTTACCATGTGACTTCCAGCCAAGGCAACAGCTCTGTAGTGATGCCTCAAGAGATGGAACAAGCCCTGAAGCAGTGGGAATATAATGAAAAATTGTCATTTTATATGTTTCAGGTCATACTTTAAGAAGTGCATGGATTTTTTTTTTTTTTTTTTAGGTTACCATTCTTGGAAAGTTCAATTTTAGAACTTACTAGTAGCTTTTGTCATAAGACTTGCATAAATTGTAAATGCTAATTCATTTAAGATTTGCTAGCTGAAAAAAGCTTTGATTTGCTTAGTGTGCTTGATTGCGATTGCAGCAATGTACTCAATTATTCTGTCTCTTCTGTATTATCCCATCTCTTATGGGTGGTTTTAATGATTGTGAATCAGGCTGAGGTCACTGTGGTGCATGAAGCTTTGGGTGTTGGAGTGGTGGCCTGGCTGTTCAGTTCCACACGGTTCTAGCCCAGAATAACTCTCTGGTTGTTTCTACCCAAGGATAGAAATAGCAGAAGGATTGCTGGGAGGGAGTCTGTCTGTCAGCAGTAAATCAGGCAGCCTGCTGAATTTGAGCTGCAGAGATCATTGGTGCTGTACACAATTTCTTCCCCATCCATAGGGCTGCCATGATGGTGGCTGGTTCCTGCCTGTGTAAGTGGGGGTCGACGGTTTTGGGGGCTCTGTGCTGATGTGGGTAATGAGAGCTAAACCAGAAATGAAATAAAACTTGTAATGACACACCTGCTTGTTTAGTGCTCCCAGTTAATATGTGATGCGTTATTTTAAACCCTTTAAGGAAGGAATGCTCGAGAGACATGAGTATTTGACATGGATACTGGATGTTTTGGAAAAAATCAGACCCACTGATGATGATCTTCTTAAGCTGTTGTTGCCGCTAATGTTGCAGGTACATGGGTTTGTTAAAGCCAAAATCAATATAAATGTGATTCATACACATTACATGACTTTAATATTTGTGGTGGTAGAATCTATATAAACATTTTTAGTTAGGACATCTAGGGAAATACGGTGCATGTTTGAAATTTATAAACACCTTTAAAATGTTCATGCTTTATAGTGCTTAACTTGAATCGATGGAAGGATTTCTGTTACTGTAACGGGTCCTGGAGTGAAGATGAAATTTTTGAGAGACAGATTATAGATTCATATTTGAGGTGCTCTTTTCTTTTTTAACTTCTGGGCTCTTAAATATTGGAGGTAATCCCTTCTAGTTTATGCATGTTCAATGTTAGATTGTTAAAGAAGATAAATACATGGAGTAGACTGTGTAGTAAACTATATATTTTTTTTAAATTTCAGTATTCGGAAGAGTTTGTTCAGTCAGCTTACCTATCCCGTCGCCTTGCTTATTTTTGTGCCAGACGCCTATCTTTATTACTAAGCGATGGTCCTAACCTTGTACCTGCACACTCTCCCCATATGATTATTGGACCGAGTAACCCTCCTCTGGCAGCCCCGAGTCCGACTGCCCCGGGTCCCGTGGTGAGCCCAGTACAGCTGGCCTGCTCGGATTTCCTCTCCTGCCCTCAACACCGTCCACTGGTGTATGGACTTAGTTGTATGCTGCAGGTAGGCCAATGTTCTGTTGCTCTTCGTTGTCAAGGCTATAACCATTCAGTTTATTGGAAAACTGAGTGGGTTTTTTTCTGTGTGACAAAGTGTGATTGTTGTGGTTTGAAATGTACCTGTGTCCAGGTGAGAGCTGGTTGGGTCGGGGGGGAGCAGGAGGATGGATTCTCCACACTGTCTGAGATGTGGTGGTGGAACCACCTGGATAAGGTTGTGCTGTCCGTGTCTCTGTCTGCACCTCTGCTGTGGGAAGGAGTGACTCTGCTGCCAGGGATGGCCAAGCCTTCCCTCTGTGATGGAGTGTTTCTGGTTGCAGTGATGCTCTGTGCATCTCATCACATTCTCATCCCAGTGAACCTGAATGGTTCTGCCAGACCCTGACTGTCTGCTGAGTGAGGCGGGACAGAAGACAGCGCCATACTCTGAAAGCTCTAACCTTTGAGGATTTCCTTGCCTTTTCCAGCTTGTCACTGATGCTTGGTGCCACCGCAGGCTGCTTCATTTTGATTTTGTCAGAATTACAAGCAGTTTATATTGCCGTATCAACTTCCACAGTTCTTAAAACTGTGGAACAGAAGAGACTGTTCACTTGTGCTCGTTGCTCAGCAATAGCAGAATTGTCAAGAGAGTAATTGTTTTCTAAAAAAGGACTTGTTTGATGAGCTGCAGTTGTTTGCCTTGCCGAGGGCTGACCTGGTGAGACTTCCTCAAGCCCTTCTGCTGTTGCCTCTTCAGTTGCCTGTCTCTGGGGGTTGCAGAGATGCCCTGGTGGTGGTGCCAGGAGTATGCTGATGCTCTTGGGATCGCAAAATCACAGAACGGGTGAGGTTGGCAGAGACCTCTTCAGATAACGTTGCCCACCCCTCCGCTGAGGCAGGGTTAGCTAGCACAGGTTCCCCAGGACCATGTCCAGCTGGGTTTTTAACATCTCCATCACCTCTCTGGGCAGCCTGTTCCAGTGCTGGGACAGCACGTTGTTGTGGTACGTAGCTCCCTCTCTGGGGCTGCTGCTTCCCTACACTTGTTGCAGTTGGGAAGTTCAGAGCCTGGAGGCAGGCTGGGTTGGATGCAGGGAAGGCTCAGTCGTGCTATCTGAGGAAAGATAGAGAGAGAGAATATCTGTATCCCTCCCTCTGCTGAGGATCCGTGAGTGGGGAAGTAAGATCCCGCCTGGCTCTCAGTGTGCTGTGACTTTTTCCCTCTTAAATGTGGAACTGTCCTGGGAGCGTCAGTGTTTGTCTCCGTCCTGGGCTGCTGGGGTACAGCTTCTCTGGCAGCTGTACAGCTTTTCTCTGGTAGCAACACAGCTGGTTGTCTTTCTGCTCTTCCTGTACTATTTGGGTTTGTGTACATGTGTGTGTTTTCTCTTTTTTCTGCCTCTTGTGCCACCAAGCAGGTCCAGAGGACAGCCTGGGTTCAGACAAGCTCTCTGTCTTTTCAGAGGAGCATTTCTCCAGGCGATGCTTTTGCTAAAGTGCTGCTTTGTAATCCAGATCTGGACTAGGAGAGCTTCCCAAGAAGTAATCCAGCAGTCTCAAAAATAAACATCTATAAGATGAATCAACTTCCATCATTTTAGATGACATTTAAGGTCTGACCCCACAACTGCAAAGCATTCTGCTTTTGCTCTGTACGGTACCAAATGCTGTAGGGTAATAGGTACCTGCTGACAAGCCATTGTAAAATGACTGTTTTGAAGCCTGTCGATGCAAAATCTTTCTTTTGAAGTAAATCTTAAGTTCATAGTACATTTCAATGACTCTTCTATGCTTTTAAATCTTGACAGAAGAGTTGATTTTAATTAATTTCTTACATTTTAGTTTTTCACATGTAGCTTCTTCCTGTAAGCTGAACACCAAAATGACTTATTTTTTCTGAGGCCCATTCATGTTTCATAGAAGGAATCTAACTGAAATTAACCTTTGGTGATGTTTTTGACGACGTTTTGAGAGCAATACAAATGGGAATTGTACAAGTATATATTTAATTTTTTTTTTTAATAACGAAGAAAGAAAATAATATAGTAGTTGAATTTTCTGAACTGAATGTTTTGAAGTAATTGTGCATAGGCTTGTCTTTTTGTTTCTTCCACTGTAATAGTTGGACCAAAAGTGATTCTCGTGTCATGAACTCTCTTATTGTTGGTATTGTCTATCACACGTGTTTAGACAAAGAAATTACTTCTGTTTTGTATTATTGCTTGCAGACTGTAACTCTTTGTTGCCCAAGTGCCTTGGTGTGGAATTATTCCACAAATGAAAATAAGAACGTTAATCCAGGCTCACCTCTGGATTTACTTCAAGTTGCTCCATCTAGTTTACCTATGCCAGGTGGAAATTCAGCGTTTAATCAGCAGGTAAGATTTATTCATTGTCAGATTATTAAGATCTCTTTTTATATACCAAACAGTAATTTATGATCATTAGGACTAGAGTGAAGCATAGGTATTTCTGTAGGTCTAGTCTCAAGACTAGTGTTGTGCTAGTTTTTGATAACTTTACTTTGTACTTCATTCAGGTACTGATTTTGTGAAAACGTCAGGAATTTTATTTATGTTCAGATGTCTTCTATTATTAAACTGAAATGACTTTAAGATATGAAACAGCAAGTAAGAGGAAGCTTGGTTTATCCGTATTGTGAGATGCAACTTTTTAGACACACTGAAAGTTAACTTCTCCTGAGTTGAATGTAAGGAAAAGGTTATTTGTGTTTTATTGTACAAGATGGTTCGTAACAGACAAAAGCATTTGAACAGAACGTACTTCAGTTTGTTGTTCCCAAATGTAAGGAGTGTTGTGGAACACCATAGGGTACCTTGCTCCTGCTGAGAAAGCTGTCACAAGCTTGAAATGAAAATTGAGGCTTCCTGCCACTAGCTAATTAGCAACTATCTCTTTTACAGGTTCGGGCAAAGATTTATGAAGTAGAACAGCAGATAAAACAAAGAGGTCGTGCTGTGGAGGTGCGGTGGTCTTTTGACAAGTGCCAAGAATCAACTGCAGGTAAGACAACTCAAAATGAAACAAACGTTGGGAGCTTTAGGGTTTACCTCTATTCTTCCTTGACTACAGTCCTGTTGCACCATGATTAAATCTAGTAATAGGTTTTACAGATGGATGTAACGCAATGTCTTCTTGTGTAAACCTTTCTTTTTCCCCTCTTTTTTTCCCTTCTTCTCCCTCCCCCTCGCCAACTGCCATTTCTAGGGGTGACCATCAGCCGAGTTTTGCACACCTTAGAAGTGTTGGATCGGCATTGTTTTGACAGATCAGATTCCAGCAATTCAATGGAGACACTTTATCATAAGATTTTCTGGGCAAATCAGAATAAAGATAACCAAGAGGTAATGGCTACATTCTCCTCTCACTTCCTAATCTGTAAACAATGGATTTTATTTTTACTTACGAGAATTGTGTCTATGTGTATATTTGATACAAAAGCTTTGCGCTTTCTTGGTGTGTTTTTTCTTTACTATTTGTCATTTGGTTTATTAGGAGAAAACAGCTCTTTGTTGTAATTGAATTTTTCAGTTCTATATACTATAAACCTCATTTTGGAGAAATGATCTATCAAGGTTGTGTTGTTTGGATTTTGGGTTTTGTCAAGTAAAATTCTGGATTCTTGTTTGTTAACTTTTATATCTGTTGTAGAAAGTACTTAATAAGTTATTAAGTATAGTAAAATATTCTAAAACTACATACTTTTATTTTTTTTTTGGTATTTTTCTCTGTGCTCCTAGAACCATTTTCAAAGATCATGAAAAACTATCATAAACTTTTAACATTCTACCTTTTTTTTCCCTTTATTTTTCTTTTTTTGTTGCCACTGGGCCTATGTATAATGTCAAACTCTTGAGTTTTCCTTGAAAGTGTTTGGGGAAAAGATGAAATAGCCAGCTTTAATAATACACCGTTGAAGTAAAATTTTAAACTGGAAAATATTAGTGAGTATGTCATAGCTGCTCATGTTAATGTTTTAAAAACCTTTATGCAAAATGGCTTGTTTTTTGAACCTGCCTGGTTTTTTGTCATGACTATGTGTTCTCCGTGATGATGGTCATAATTCAAGATGCTCTATTGCACAGAAATACTGCATAATAATTGTCAATCAGCATTTTAATGACTTTGCAGTAAACAAGCAGAATATAGTGTGTGTGTGTGTGGGATAACATCTCAAAGGATTTCCAGAGAGATATACCTGCCAACAAACTCTGGATGTGAAGCTCAGAACTGGCAGGTAGGAGTGAAATGCTTGCTGGAGTTGTCTTTGTATTTCAAATGCACTATTATGGTAACAAGAGGAAGGAGAGCTGTTAGAGCACGCAGATGAAGTTGCTGAAAGTTCTTAACCCTAATGCTTGGATGAAATCAGGAATTCAACACACAATATTTTTTGTATTTTTAAAATGGGTAGTGAGTGTGATATGCTTTACTGTTTGAGTGCCGACTTTTTGTCTTCATCTGCTTTTGGGGTCGGATGATGTGGTTCTCTGCTGTTGCTCTTCTGCTGTCTTATTTGTATCTCTTTTTCCTTCTTCCTGTCTGTATTCCAAAACGATTTTCTGACTTCCAGCTACAATTTTACTAATACACTGTTTCTTTGTACTTCAAAAGGCAGCGTTGGTAGGGAAACTTATGCAAGTAAGGTAGTTAAGGTAATTACTCTGTTCTTATTGTAGGTTGTCTGCTATTATTGCCTTTGTTTTATGGTACTTAATGATTTGAGGTTGGGATGCCTTGAAAACATGCCTGTTTTGGCACTAGAAGTGGGCTCCCCAGTTCTGGGTACCATATGTTTTTATGGATCTGTCTGGTTAATTTGCAGGGCTACCTATCTTCTGATGGCGTAAGATTTTGCTCTGAGATGAAGAATGCTGAGTAGGAATAAAGCGTTATCGTATGTAAGTGACGATGTGCCTACGTTTGCACAGCAGTCACAGGAGACCGTAGGCAGAGCAGAAGCAAAGGAGATGCTGACTTCTTTCTTAGATAAGAAAACTTAATTTTGAAAGTTTCAGTCTTACCTTACCTGGGTCCGGAGCTGATGTGAAATCAAACTTTTAAATTATCTGCAGCTTGTTCTCTTCCTCTGAAGTTTTCAAGACTGTTAGTTGGTGCTTGGCTGGAGCTTAACTTTCGGCAGCGAGACAGGAGGTTGCCTTAGGATGCTGAATCCCCGACTGATGGTTCTTGTGCATTTTGACGCTTGAACTTCCAAAGTTATATTCAAGTGGCCAGTGTAGTGTTTAGCTCTTACATGCCGGGCAGGCTGGTGGTGAGCACCTGGGGGGGTCGAAGCCCAGCCCCGTGTCCCGGAGCAGGGCTGCGGAGCTGCTCGGCGGCCGCTGGATGTCGGCGCCTCCCCGCACCGACTGCGCATCGGCTGCGGCACCGCGAGGCTAAGCACACAACGGTGTCGCCACACGCAATGCTGTTTGTCTCTTTTTTTTTTTTCTCTCTGTTTCCTTCTCCCTTAATAAATGTAGGCTGTTTTTTTCTTGGCAGAAAAGGCCGAAAGTTACAAGGTTGTGTACGCTCTGTTTTCAGTTGGCAACTCATCTAAGGACTTCTATTTTGTAAATAAGATGTCCATCACTAGGATGTCTGCCTACTGACATTGTTATTTAAAGCTTTGAAGGACAGCTATCTGCTACCCCTGTTTTGATGTGAGCCTGACTGGAACATGTTTGGAGCCTATTTCCTGTCCATTTTTCCTGCTGGATTGCCAAACATTGTCATGAAGACTGCGAATGATTCCAGGGGACGTACATGTGAGAGTGGTGCTCCAAAGCTTCCATGCTGGAATGGAAGGAAGGTGGCTCCTGCTACAAATTACTTAGGTTCTGAGAGAGACTGAAATCAGAGAAATCTGCTCAGGATGCTGCTTTTATACACACTATTGATTTCTCCAGAATTGTTTTAATACATAACTCATGACTCCGAAGTGTCAGAGCAAAAGTTAAACTTGGGGGAAGGAGCTGGAATGAGGGAGGGTAGGTGGCTATCGACAGGTTACGTGAAAGCCTAGGTGTCCTGGGCCCTGCAGGGGGAAGAGTTGCTTTGCATCCCATGGAGAGATGCAGAGTAATGGTGCTGAAGGCTGAGATCTGGTGACACTGGTGAGAGAACATGAGAGAGCAAAATGGGGATAAATGCGGAGTGAGGGGCTGAGCTGTGACTCTGCATTGAATTGGAGTAGGACAAATAGGGCAGATGGATGGCAAGCATTGAACAGAGCTCAGATTTTGTGTCATGAGTGTCATGTTGCATATGACAGAGGTGACAGACTGAAGCTGTGTGGGAAAATGTCATGGTAAATCCACTTTTTGACCAGACCCCAAACAAACCCTCCATCCTTTACCTATAGAGAGGTGACAGAAATCGGAGGAGAATCCAGTGCTTTTCCAGTGACTTGGAGAAGGCTTAGCATGAAGGAGCAGTGATTGGATTATTAAATGCTGAATTATGAAGCAGACTTTAAATAGGAGATAAGAATTGCATTGCAGTTTCTCACTGATGGTCTCTGTGTCTTAAAGAGTGATGGACCCTCTGTAATCTTGTAGAAATAGCTTCGTCTGAGCCTTAATCAGACTGTGTGCAACCCAAATAATAGCACTTACTGTATCTGTCAGATGCTCAGGTTTTTATCCATGAAGTTCCAAATGATAATAACAGTTGTTGAATTCATTCGGTGTGAAGGTCTGACAGCCAATAAAAATATCACAATTAATATGATAAGAATAATGCTACCTTATGAGTGTGACCACGTACACAGTGACTAATACAAAGGTATTCTTTGTAATTCTGCTTCACTGACTTGTATGGAGTTTCTCAGTAGATTTGGCTGAGTAGGAGGACTTGAAATCTAGAAATCTATGACATGGCATAAAGCAGTAAATTCACTTTCATTTGAGATAGTGTTGCAGAGAAAACTACTGGGCTTATTTATAGCCGCAGGTATTTTCCATCTGACTTTTCCTTGACTTAAAACATCTCTTATGCACAGCTCCAGAATGATTACCACTGCGGTGGATATTGTGGAGGTGTATCTTTAAATAAATAAATCCGGTAAACCGTTTATATTTCTACCATACAGTTTTAAATTACAGTAAAATTGTGTTGCGCTCATCCAGATTTGGCACACCTTTGATTCCTCTCCACCCTCTTTTAAAGATCACTCCCCCTGAAGGCTTGAGTCAATTTGTGCAAAAATAGAGTCCTCAGAAGAGTGAGCTGGAGAATGCAACAGTAACGTTTTCATAATGTCTGTGAAAACTCCTCTTTCAGTTCACCTGTCATCTTCCTGTGGCTTAAACCCACTCAACTCTCGCCTAACTTTTGCTCTACTTGTATTTTATTATCTGTCATAGTCTTTCTCAGGTACAACTAAGGCAGAGAATTGAGAAAGGGTATTTCCCCCCGCCTTAATTTGTTTTGTTTTAGAATGGTTGGCAAGACTTTTTAACTTGTCAGTCTCCTGTGTAGAAAAATACAATTTGGTTAAGTACAGCTTGAAATACACCTAAGCAATGGGAAGGATACCTAGTAAATGAAACTTCATACCAGTATTTTCTAGTGAGTATGCAGTGGTAAATTGATGAAAGGAGAGAGCACTTGGTTTTTAAGGACTGTTATTGAATTTCTTGAAATCGTTATGTAGAATCCTGAAACTTCATGGATATTTGTGCTCTCAGATTGCTTTTAAAATTTAAGTCTCTGAACTTGTATTTAGGTCTTGCTTCTCATGTTGTCTTTGAAGTCCAGCCGAATTCTTACGATGCCAAGAGATGTTTTTCATTTTAGAGTGAAAAAGTCCTGTTTTGAACTTGGTTCTCACGAATAAGGCTTGTTACAAATGCAGAGTTAATATTTGTCTTTCTGAGATCACTTTTCTGGAAATCAAACAAACAAACAAAAAAACCCAAGCCCGCTGTGTCTGTGGGAAAGGAGGTCTGATGATGCCTTTTTTGTTAATAAGCTACAATTTAAGTTTGCTGTTACCTAAGGGACCTGAATCTGAATGTGTTGGGATGCATGACGGGTGAGAGAGACATGATGAGAAAAATTATATGGATTGAAATACCTGCACAATCAGAGTCTGTTTCCACAAACAGTGAGAAAATAGAACGTGTTCTGAGCATTCTTGTAATATTTTAAATAATGCATTTAGCATTTGCTCAGTTGTTTGAATTGCTTAGTTATCTGAAGCTTATTTGTGTCATCCTTAGCTTATTGTCACCCTTTATTATTTCAGTAAATCCAAACTCAGATTCCTGCTCACCTAAGGGTGTCTGGGGGAGTTAAAGTACAAAATCTCTCTGGAAGGGAAAAAATTATTCTATGA